ATGTTTTTGCAGATTCCAAGACACAGAATTTAGAAAGAATTTCCTTATACTATCTACACCTAGGAATTTCCTATTACTTAACTGGGACACAAGAACAACTCACAAACTTAACAATGCTGTGGATTGGGTGGAAATCTGGCGTTTAGACTATTTTTTCATATCATCATGTCTTCACCAAGTAATTCCTCAGCACCAGGGAAGTCACTAAGATGCCTGAAGTTCTGCTCCGCACATGCACTGAAGCCTTTTGGTCTTGACAGGGCTAAGTACATATCTCACACCTAATCCCATCAGGATTCACAGACAAAGCATGCCTCCTCCCTTCAGGAGCCACTTCTGGCAGTGCACATATAACACATGATCACACAAACAGGGATCTGCACAAAACACAGTGGCACCAGACCATGATGGGGAAATGCCAGCAGTCCCATTTTTCAGAGTAGGTTGTTAGCCATGCAAGTATTGAGGAGCCATCCTCTTTATCTCTCTGCTTTAGGAAATTCACAACCGCATTTCCCATCACTGTGGTGTGCTGCTCACATAATATCAGGCATCCAAAGAACAGAGACAAGAAATAGTCTTCATTCTTTTGATGTTACACTTAGCTCCATGGCACAATTGATGATTTGGTCCCTCTTTCATTCTCCTTTCTCCTGTGCCAACACCAGAACAACTTCTGCCTAGACATCAGTATACTGTTACAAAGAGTGGGAAGTAGAAATTTAGCCTTTCTAAGGAACTGGGAATAAGGTCTCCAGAGCCTCATACATATAAAAAAAACTCCCAACATATTTTTCAGTTTCTGATTTAAAAGATTTATTTTCTACCACCCCAATGCAGGAAAAGACTAAAAGCTGTTGAGCTGGTCAGCCATCTCTGACAGACCTAGGTACTGCTGAGATGTTTGTGCAGGAAAATGATGAAAGATTTTGTTCCCAGGGGAAAAAACGTGGAAGGGTTTTTAAACCTCCAATATGTCAGTCTGTCCTGAAGCAGTTAACGAAGAGACTTTAGAAAAGGTCCAAACTGAACTGGCCTCTTTGGGTTAGGTGAAGTGGTGACGGACTTTGAGACTCTGAGTAAGGACAGTGAGTAGTTGTGCTCATGTGGCTGGAAACACCTGTTCTCAAAGGCACCAGAGCAGGATGCCTCTTATGTGGGGCACTGTTGGCATGACCTAATTGCGGCTGGAGTCCCCAGGGAGTCCACACATGTCAGACACCTATCCTTCTTGAGGACAAAACCTGAAGGGTCTGTGCAGCCATCTCCTCTGCCACCCACAGATGCTACCTGTCCTGTGGCTCCCTATCCTCCCCAGGTTCCTTGTTCAGAGCTCATGTTGCTCTTAACATCTGAAAAATTAGGTCCTTGAAGTTTAGTCTGACCTCACATACAGTCTTTGAAGAGCCAAGCCAAACTCAGTACAGGTGAAGGGGCCTTTGAATGTGCATCTGCATTGCTTAGAGGGAAAGAACTCAAAGGCCCAAACCCATGCACCTAGTATTTGCTGAGGCTACTTGAATAGGGAGTAGAGCATATGGTCCAGAAAGCACAACTTTTGAGAGATATGAACCCGTCTTCCTTCTGGTACATGTCAGTAGAGCCTGTCAAAGAAATTTATTCTAATAAATATTTCAAGAACCCAGGGGCAGTGGTAAAACATAAAACTTTGAGCCTTGTAGTGGTAGTCAAACCTAGAGTTCACACAGCTGATCGATAGGGGAGGCTTTGAGGAAGTACAATTTCTGTTAAAGAAAGGAAGTGTGGAAGTATGGTTCATGTGCCCAAGGCCTTAATCTCCCCCTACCCCACCCCCATACAAATTACCACATAATTTGTAATCATTCATTACAGTTGGAATTGTCTTGACTTTTAAAAGGCTTTTCTCATTAGACAACACTTTATTCCTTGTAAAGCATATTATTGATCTTAATACGCAGAAAATGCCATAGCTAGCAACTCAGAATGTCTGTGCCATTTTTGCTAAACAATGAGAATTGATGAGGTTTGGCAGGACATTAAAATATTTAATAGTATAACTTTGAGAAGTCTTTTATGCGTTTGTACTAATAGGAAAATCTTTTAACAGGAAAAATGTTTTTCTCTGCTCCACTAAAAACTCTAGTGAGCAATGATTCTATTTGCATTAAACCCAATGGGAGGTTCATTACTGACTTCAAAGTCAGCTCCAAGAGAGATTCCAGTTTGGAAAGTCATGACTAAAAAAAAACCTCAGACTTTTAGTTACGTGAGTAGTGCCATTTAAATTAGCATTTAATTACATGCCCTTCAGAGTGTCTGGGGCCAAGGCATTTGGCTTTGCCCAGAAAAGTTGTACACTGACAACCTGAGCATGGTGGATATGTCAACTCTTACTGCATCATGTCATCTGAAGTATGGGAGTTGGACCAGGTGATGTGCCCAGGGAAGTCACGGGCCCCTGTCACTTAGCTCTAAGAATCTACTTTGGAGACATTTTTTTCTTTTAAATTATTTTAACTTTCCAGATCTGTTCTCCCTACAGAAACCTGGCTTGTAGGGCTCAGTTCTGGTACCTTGGTTGATTTGGTGTCTTTACAGCACTATGTGTATGGTACAGAGCTTGGGTGAAATAGTGCAGGAGGCAGCAGGGTATTCAAAAGCAGGGCATTGCTACACAGAACATTACAACACCTAAACAGGTAACTGTGAGAGGGAAAATACTTCTGATTCAATTACTCAACTCAAGAAGGAGCATTTGCCAGCTGCTACATTTTTGTCCGCTGTGAGTTGCTTAAGGGCTGTGGCAGAACCCTGGCGAAATGGGGCTATTCTCAGTTTGGGACTGCAAGAGTCTAACTACTCCGGGTACTCCTCAGTCCAGTGAGCCTGAGCATTGCCTCAGGCTGGTGCATGCCAGTGCTGAGCCCTGCAATACCTGCGTCCTCTGACTGTGTGTCTTTACATTTAAGCTGAAGGGGTAAAATTATTTAGGCTGCCTAGACAGCCTAAAAGAACATTGTAATGCAAAGGAAACTGGAAACTTCATTCCTATCTTCATCTTTCAGTACTGTGCTTGTGTGAAGGTCTTCTGATCCTCTGGACACTGAGCACAAAAATTGTTCTTGCCTGCATTTCTCTTAAAAACTCTAAGGGCAGAGCTCAATGTCCTGTTAAGGCCTCTTGGACTTTTGTAACATTAAAAAGAAGTTGGTACACTTAACTTTAACTATGCAGCTCGTCCCTAAGTTTTCAGGAGGCGGGCAACTAAATCATGAGCATCATGTTATTTGCAGAGATCAGAATTGCTTTCTTTTATTTGCAAATTTAACCCCAGAAGGCAGCACCTCTTATAAATGACATTAGGAAAAGAACAAAATGTAAAATTGGTATCCTGTAATCGTATTTATTTCTATACGCAACAAACTAAAATGCTGGCATCTTTTAATAGCTTTTTCCATATTGGACTCTTTGTTTGGCTGCGGTTTTCCTGATGTATCCTAGTAACATGTTTAGTTAATTTATATTGTGTGTATGTGTAGACAGATATACACACATCCATATGTATGCACACACATAGTCCTCATTAAGTAAGTGTTAAACCTCCCACAGCAGAGTTGGGTTTGGAGGGCAATAGGGCTGAAAACTGCAAGTCTGTTCCTTTTGCAGAGGGGTACCACAGAGACTGCTCCAAGGAGGCACACAGTCCCCAGCGGGGATCTGGAGCCCCTGTGCCTCTGTTGTGAAGCTTCCTCTGGTGTGTGCACTCCAGGCAGGACTAAAATCCTTATTTCTCACTGGGAGCAAAGTGCCACGCTTACAAGCTCTCCTGAGGAGGTGGGTGCATCGTCTCCCATCCCTCACTTGCACGTGCAGAACCTGAAGTGCTTGGCCAGTCCCTCGGTAGCAGAGGGATTGCTTGCATGTACGTTAGCGATGTGAGCACTTGAACCTTAAATTGTTAGAGAATCTCAACTGTTGCAAGACAAACTGCAAAAGCAGAAATATTTGGCAGGTGATGAAGAAAAGAGGGATTCCACATATTGCACAGTAAAACACAAATACAACCTACTTATTTGGTGTTAGAAGACTCTCTCTTCAAGGATTCTATCCTGGTCGTTTCTGCCTTTATTAAAACAAGCGAGCGCTGACTGCAGGGCTACAATACACACTCTTGGAAAAGCCATACACTGCTTATTCTCCTTTTTTTCTAGGCCCACAAGAACAAGTCCTGCGCTGTTGTATTTATTTTATAGCAAAACTCTCTTTAAGGAAGATTCTGCAGACCTAAGGACTGAGGAGTCAGGACTGGGAGTAAGGAAGGGAATGAACAACTTCCTTCATAGCTGGGTTAGAACAAGCCAGCTGCTTTCTACAGTCAAGCTAAAACTAAGAGGAGATGGTCTGCGGTTAAGAAACATGCAGGAAAATTTTCACACCAAATGTGAAAAATGAGAAATTGCTTTAATATATCATAACATGCCGTAAAAATATGATACGTGTTCCTTTCCAGCTTTAAAAGAAGACTTTATAAAATCTACTGTCTTTGATTTGTTAAGACAACTTTATTTCTTAATTCACAAGTCCTCAAGAAAGCATAATGAAGCCCTTGATGTTTTTATTATCTTGATTAGTGCTTCATTGTATAAGGATTTGGTTATTGAAACATACACTAATATTGCACAGTGAAATATTTGGTGACTTATTCAACGTATAGAAAAAATGCGAGATTGTAAAATTGGTATTCAATTCTTTTAATAAAAAACTCACTTGACCACACATTTCTTTGCTGTATTTTCTCACTTATTGTGTATATATTTGAAGAAAAATGTCTGTGTCTGTTGGATATCATCTATCTGACACTAGAAACTGATGCTGGTATTAATAAGTTACCGTGAAAAATAAACCAGTTTGCACTTTGATTTCTATCACTCCTGGTGAGTGATTCTTATGGAATAAACATAGCTCTAACACATGTAAACAACACAGGAAATTAATAACAAAATTCTTTGGATTTCTTTCAGATGCCACATACTTTGTGTAAATATATGTGGCTTTTAATTTCAATGATTTTCCAGTAAGTAATAAACTTTGCTCATTAAGCATTCCCTTAAACTAAACATTTATTGCTTTATAAGTGTTATTTCAACTAAATCAAGTGGATGTTCTTGGTAAATTAATGCAATAGATCTGTTCAACCATAGAAACAGAGTGGCTTTTTTTTTGAGTTTGGGAAACTCTGAATTTCTATTTAAACTTCAAGGGAAAGAGATGCAGTATAATATGTTGATTTTTAATCTGAAAAACATTGATAATATATTTTTTAATTAATCTATCTTTCACTCATAAGCTTGGTGGTAAAACATGGGAAAAATCCCATCAGCTGGATAAAGTTAAATATTTAATCCATGAATCTTGAGGTAATAGTTTTGCACAGAACTGGGTTGGGTGGTTTTTTTCAGTACCAGCTGTGATTAGTCATTATTTTTGACTGGAAGGATGAGTGGGGTATCTTCTCTGAAAACAGAGTTCTTTTAAGTGTGCAATTTTAAGATCAAATGGACAAAAATATTTTACGCTTTGTATGCTTACAGAAAAAAAACATATTAAGAAACATTTTGTTCTCATGGCAGTCATGATATGTGTCTGGATTCTAAAAAAGTTGTTGTCACCAGTCTTTGTGGGGACTTTGCAGCTTAGAAAACCCACTCCCAGGTATTTGGGTGTGCATGTTATGATGTGAAAAAGCCCTTCCACAACACAGAGGTTTGATGTGGGACACACAGCACCTTCATTGCCCTTCCTTACTTGAGCAGCTAGGAGCAAACTCCTTGGTGGAGGTCAACCAGGGGGACCATGGAACCAGCCTCTTCTCAACCCAAACTTCAAGCACTGGGCTGAGTTCAGAGAAGACCATGGTGCCACTGCTGTGTGCCCTCTGCTCACATGGGCACTTGGCTGATGTTGGCTCCTTTTCCACACAGGACCCAGGAGGAGGGGGGCAGTGGCATGGCACAGGCACCTCTTCCTGTCAGGGGTCACTAGCACTCAAAGAGGCGGCCGGCTGTGAGGTCCATGGGAGAGATTTCCTTGCTCTGCCCAGGTCAGATATCAGTGCACAACCCAGTATTTAACATGAGTGCTAGGTTTCTGGATCTTATCTCTTAATGATGCACAGGCTTTCCTTGGGGGACAGTGAATCACCGCATTTCTTGAGTGCTAGCTCACAGCCAGCAGCACCTATTATGCGGATTGCACTGGCCAGGAGTCTGCATGAGGTGGTATTAGCTCTGATCACAGGAATCAAGGGTTAAAATCTATTAGCTCAGACGCAACAGGTTTTAGTTTCTTTTAGTTCTGTTTGGATGAACTGGATTTGCTTCAGACATGACTCATTGCCACTTCCTGCATCTCCATGATGGTTCCTGCAGGACCCTCAGCTGTGGAGCATGGCTTGTACCCACTTCAAACATAATACAAATTCTCATGTACATTTTTCATACTGAGGCTTAATTTGAATTAAACATGGCAGGCCAGAGGGTATGCAGTAGACATCCTTGGTTCTCTTAGTAGACTGAAAAGAGAATTACAAAGAAAAAGAGAGAAAAAAAGAGTGAAAAAAAGCAGGGGAAAAAAAAGAAAAGAAAAAAAAAGAGAGAGAAAGGAAAGGGAAAAAAACCCCTCTGATATATAAAGAAAGAAGTCAAATTGCAAAAGCTCACAGGAAGCCAAATTCTCCAGGCACAAGAAAAGTGACATTATCCAAACAAAATCTTAACACAGCATGGAAATGTGATGAAGAGTAGGGCTGGTATTTTCAGTGAATCTATAGACATATATGTAAATACAATCAAATTGGGAACACATTCTAGGGATTAAAGAGATCTGCATAGCACTAGAAGAAAGAAGCAGCAGATGTAACTGCTAACAACAAAAGAAGGGATTTCTGGCCAAAGTTCAAGATTTTCTTACACCCAAGCCCATTGTTGCAAATGAATCTGGACACAGTAAATAATTTGTAGTGACTTGTAGATCCAACTTCTTTTTTGTTGTTATTCATGAACTAGCTACCATTTACCAACATGACGACTTTTATAAATGAGTTCCTTCAGAGCCATTCAGCAAACACATAACACAGATGTATTCCCATCTAGGCAATGTCACTGCTCTGTTAAAGTGAGCCATTACAGTGGCTGTGAGATGGGCAATGACCGAAAAGCAGTGATGATTGAAGATGAACAAAAAGATCTGAACCCTGATCAGCAGATTTTCAGCAGCAGAGAGGCACGAACTCCCATGAAGCTGATCAAGCTTTAAGGGGGTCTCAGGCATCATGCTTTACACAAGCCTCTCTTGATGAAGGAGGGGAGGTACCAGATGGGGAAGACACCGGGTGGAGCAATAGCCTGGTAAACAAGACCTGTCAAGATAATCCGAAGCTGATTTCAATTTCTTGGTGTCTGTAGCAAGAGCTCTCTGAACATCTTAGCAGTAGGTATTAAACAAGCTATTAGAATTGGGCTCTATAATAAAGTAATTTTAGCAGGTCAAGACAGTCACTAAAACAGTGATATGTCACCTTAACTTCCACATATAGTTGAGAACATCCTGAGCACACAAGAAGAGTGCTCAGACAAAATTAAATTGGAACTAAGACCCACCTTGACAAGTCTCTTACTTCCACTGGTTCCCCTGAGATACATCAACAGTATTTTCAGCATTATTAATGTAACACTCCTGTCTGTGTTTTGTGAAGACCTGAAGCCTGATGGGTTAAGGAAGCCCACAGAAATGTTTTACTCAGTGTCCACACATATTCCACAGGTCTCCACAGCAAATGATGCAGTTTTCCAACTCAAAACTAATTAAAAATTAGGAAAACAAATGCAGATGACAGTCCCTTACTGCCTGCAACAAGGACATCTCTGTCTCGTGTTGTTCAGTGATTCTGAAGGAGAAAAGGCTACCGTATTGTCCCAGTGGGAGATGAATAAACAAGCATCTTCTGACCATCATTATTTTTAAGAGACAGGCAGTAACAGATCTTCTAGATCTGGGAGAAGAGGAGGCATGGGATGGTGAGAAAGTAGAATTTTTCTGATCCCCAAGATGGTCTTCTATGCTGATGCCATAACCAAGCAAAGCCATGTGCAAGGCTTGCCCTGCACTGGGTCTTGCTGTGGCAGCCTGGCCACATGGTGCTGCACCAGCCCTAAGAGATCACCAGCACGGGGACCTGCGTCTGCCAGCTTGCAGCTACTGTCCCATGGCATTAGGCAACTGCTCTGCTGTCTCTCGCTTGTTGTAAGCCACTGTGTCACCTCAGACTTGGCCCAGAATGCCATCTTTACACTTGGAATGGCAGCAGATTAAACAATGAAAAAGTAAGACTATTTGTTCTATTTCTTATTCAGACTGCAAGTCCCACTTTGGCACACAAGACTTTTATTTTTGTAAGATCCTGTTCTGTCAAACAGAAACGGAGCAGATAAAGTAACTTTATATATAGATTTGCACAACTCTTTTTAAAGTCTACATTCAAGCATTACTATTAATGATCCAGGATGTTAACCACTATTAATATCTTATTACAAAAGCTTTTCAGCTTGCTTTTAACAGAAGGAAAATCTGGTTTAATATAAGAAGCCTGAAAAATTGCCAACTATAAAAGAACATCATTCTCTCTTTTTACTTTTTTAATTATTTGAAATGCTTCTGAATTCCCAACATAGTTATTGAGATCCAAGGTTATGATCTAAGAGAAAAGTTATGTTCATTTAATTAAAGTAGCCTTTTACATTTTAAAAAAAGTTACTTTTGAAACATTCATATTGCCATTTATGAGCTTTGGGAGGACTAGGAGCTCTGGGGATTGCTAATAACATACAGATAGCCATGTGTTACTCTCACCTCCGCTGTTTCCCTGAGACCGATTCTTTGCTGCTTGTGCTATGTACAAAGTAATAATAGTCTATGTCTGTTTCATGGACCTTTTCAATCTTTGTTGCAAATCACTTAATGTTTATGTTGCAGTCGGGAAACGGAGGCACAGAAGATGACCTGAATTGTCTCAGGGGGTTAAACTACAGACTAGTGGCAAAGGTTGTCCTTGAACAATACTGTCCCAAGTGACCTCTGCTAGGTTTAAAATGCTATCACCTGAAATTTCTGACTCCTCTGCAACCCATTGCTACTGCAAATGCAATGAACGGAGAAACACATTCACTGATTTCAGTGATTTATACTGCATTGAAAAGAAAGTCAGCCAGAGTGCATGGTCAGCCTGATTAAAAAAGAGAAGTAAGAGATCATCAGCAGCTGGTATTTAATAAGACATCAGTCTGGCAATTTCATCCTAGATTCAAATAGACAGTTGTCTTCTGAGCAATGCTCGGGCCAGCCATTCAGCCCCGTCTGTGCTGAGTGCTCTTCCGTGGAATTCCATTTTATACCTACTACATTGTCAGAGTAGATGGGAAGCCGAATAAAAAATCCAAATTTGCACAACAACATGAAGAAATTCATACAAAGGGATCTCAGGCTCTCACCAGTCAAATGGTGAAACAGTTTGTTTCTCTTCTCTTCCTCAAAAGTTAAACCATGCTGACCTCCCTCAGAGCCACAGATGTACTTACGAGGTCTAGCTCCGTGCCTAATTGCCAGAACGCTGTCTATAATGAAGCCTATTTTTAAATAACTTCCCTTCCATCTTTGAAATCAAAGAGAGAGTATGTGATGTAAAGAACAGCCTAGGTCCAGATAAAGTTTTAAAACTTATAGAGAGGAAGTAAACGACAAGTAAAAGAAGAGAATGATGGTATAGCAGCCAAGATAAGGCTCATAAATTCTCCAGGTTTAAGGGAAGAGGAGTTTTTCAGAATGTCAACCCTGCACATGCTGTGGGTCACTAAATTTCACCCCATGAGGCCTGCGTTGAATTCAGACTGACTATGGCATAATTAGTAATGGTCCCCGCTTTATTTTGTCATAGCCTCAGTGAGAAACTAGCCAAATCCTCATTGAAATGAAAGAAAACTGTCTGGAATGGGGGTGGAAATGCAGTGAAAGTAAACAAAAACAGCTTTCACTGGAACCGTCTGGGGTGAGAGCCATGTCAGGACCAAAGCTGGAGGATCAAAGATTGTGTCTACAGTGTCTTGTTCACCATGGGCTTGAGTCAGCCTCGCCAGTGACCCACATGGTGGTGTGACTACTGGAGTAAACATGTCTTCCCTGCCAATGCAGGCAGAACAGCTTACCGTGCCCATGCAGGCAGCACAGATAAACACAAGTGCAGACCCCCCAAGCACAGGGTGGGGGATTGGTGTGTAGGTTATGGACAGTGCACGCACACCCATAGGCACAGAGATGCCTTTTCTCCTCATGCCTGAACCGCACTGCCACCCCCCTGGAAGTGTCACTCCTCCAAAAAGGCTGGGTTTGTAAACCCTTTTTCTGCCTGTGGCTCACCCCAAATGTCACATCTTCGAATAGCAGGAGTTTTCTGTGTGTTTCCATGCCCTGGTAGCATGCAGTGCTGGGGAGAAAAAGTAAAAGCAAGATAGGAGCCTCCCTAAATCCATCATTCCTCTCTGTGATTGGTACCATTGTAACAGTTTGCGGGGGAAAAGCAAGGAACGTGTCAGATGAAGGCACAGCAGCAAGAGGAGACTGCAACATAAGACACCTCTTCACCATATACAGGTTTGCTTTCTCTCTATAGGGTCTCCTTCTATTTTAAATACAGCACCTGGTGCAAGCCTGGCTTGCAGATGGCCCTGCCATGGTGCTCAGAGTGTGCAGCCCTCCGAATCTGGCAAGCAGCTGTTTCAGTTTCTTTTTGCCAGGCAGCCAGTTCAGGATCATTTTTACTTTTCTTTACCCTTTTCTGCTCCCTCTATACTCAACCCTACCCTCCACAATGTAAATTGGAAGAGCAGATGTATAATCTGGGAAATTTTCCACATCCATCTTTTAAATAGGAAGGTGGATAAGCTAACTCAGCTATTTAGGGCCCCAGTTCGGAAAAAGCACTTTAGGCACATGCTTAAGTCTTGTTGATTTAGGAAAAGCAAAAAAGGCTGGTGATTTCATAGGTCTTAAACACATGCTTATGTGTCCTTCCTGAAGAGCAATATGCACCTGAACAGTGGCCCGATTATGCCAGTGCAGAAGGCACAAAAACAAGTGTTCACTGTAAAATACAGAAGCCAAGTAATGTCCCAGTTTAGCTCTTTACAGTGGTCATGGTTTCACTGATTTTTGAGGTCAAAGAAATGTGCTAACTCTAGAATTATTTATCCTTAGGGCACTCAAATTCAAAAGCAAATATTTAAATCCTGGTCATCTCCAAATCCTCCAAATTTTTCCTCTGCCAATAAACTCCTGGAGACCTTATCCCTCAGTAAAAACATTGATAGAATTACTTGAACAGGCCCATTCAGATTTTAGGAAGGAGAAAATGAAAAGAGCAAAGGATTCCTCACTAAGGATGGTTTCCACCAGATGCTAAGATGAAATGTTGCAATACCCCAGAGAAATGTGGTACGGCACAGACAATTTTGCTTGTCAGTCAGCTGGACCTGGAAATGGGCAGCAAACTAGTGTGAGCTGCTCCCTGGAAGGACTGAGTGGGCCATGTGTGATGCAGTGGTTGTCCTCTTCCACATGTATTTTTGCATGCTGTTTTGTCTTTTGCCCAGTACCTGTATACAGCCTTCCCCTCTCCTTGCCCCTAACCTGCCCCCCAACAAACCCCATTGTTAGTTTTCCTCTTCAATAACAGGAGTCCCCTTTTCTCTGGAGGACACCCTGAGAAGTTACGCTCGCTTTTCTGTCCCCAGCTTCTAGTCCTCTCAGCAGTGACCTCAAGCACTTTGCAGACTGCCTCGTCTGGAACACCTTTCAGTACCCCAGTGTGACTGAAAGGTGAGGAAACTGTCCCAGCCCAAGAAGCTTTCAACATTGTTCCCACAGCCTTGTCCCTGGCTGTCTCCTTTACTCTATTGGCCACTGAGCTCTAAGGCACAGGTTCTTGGTGGCACGGCATGAGCCTGGCATTTGCACCAGCTACTTGTAATGAAACAGGCAGAAATCTTGTCTGGGTACTGCTGACATGGTCTCCCAAAAGGCTTGACAAACAAAGCGAACAAGTGAAGAAGAGAGAGCTCCTGGGCAATCATCACCCATCATCAGGGTCCCCTTTCCAGGAAAGCAGACTTCCAGCTTTCATGATTGCTATGCTACAGATAATAAACACAGAGATACAAGTAAATAGATTTGGCTTATGTCAGAAGCCTGTTGGTTCATGATTTCTGCCAAGAGGTTGCTGTGAAGGTCTCTGACTTTCACTTGTTTTATATATTGTCTTTCAGGAAGATCTGAGGAGAGCAGAGAACCAAGGCTTACCTCCACAGTCTTGATACACTGAAGCTAGGTATCAATGAGCACAAGTCAAACCAGGGAAGGAAGACAAAATTTGGCTGGAGAAATGAATGTGGAGATAGTTTTCCTTTGTTTTTTTCCCTTAATCATAGCTTGTAGCATATTAATAGAGATCAGCTTTCATTGCAGCTGCCTATACTGTACTTGACCTATGCAGAAAGAATTTGGTCTCCGAGCCTGGAAGTCAGGCATCCTTCCCTAGCTCTGATTTCTCTTAAATAATTTTAATTAAACAAGGAAGGAAAAAAGTGAACTGACAGTTATGAATAATGAAGTGGGAAGGGGCTATGAATACAATAAGAACTAATTAAACAGTGAGGGAAAGACCATGCTGATTTATTTCTTTTTCTTTATTTCTCTTTTTTTTTTTTTTTTTTTTTTTTTTTTTTTTTTTTTTTTTTTTTTTTTTTTTTTTTTTTTTTTTTTTTGGTGTCAGACTTTTAAATGAAATACATGTGCATTAAGAGTAAGGAAGGATTTAAATCTGCTACACACACTTTCCTTCAGAGTACAACACATGACAGACGTTAGTCACATCACTTAATGCACCACTGCATTAGGCTTCAGATACCAGTGGACTGTGCAGGATAGGAACCTGCATGGAAGGGCATAGGAAACGATGCTGGAGAAGTAAGTTTTACCTTCTGTTATGGATGGGCTTGCACATGTGTACACTGAACCTGTGGCACAGCAAGTACCATAAAGCCAAATCATTTCCAAATGCTAAGATGCTTCAGTCTGTTCTAATAAAAATATCCGTATTTCCCTAGCATGTTACTACTGAAGATGTGCAAATAACAATAGCAATATATTGCACCGCAACAAAAATGAAATCACCAGCAAGGGACCATCCCACAGACCACCTGCAGATTATATATCATTTCTTTTCAGAAAAGCTGGAGCAGAGGGGAAAGGGGATTATTTTATTCCACAGAAACTGATGGCAGCAAGCTAAAAATGACACAGGCAATATTCATTCTTTGCTCCCAAAGAGAGAAGCGAGGGTCAGCTACATAAAATTAAAAGGCTTTAGTGGTAGAGTTCCTCTACAGTCTCCTTACTGATGGTTTTGAGGCAAAGAACAGCAGAAGCACTGAAAGAAGTGACCCACACAGTAGCTGACCAAGTAGACTCTGCCTCCCCTTACCCAGCACTGTGAATCCCATCCTTTGATTAGAACTCATAGACTCCCATTCACATGGAAACGTGAGTCAGATTGAGACTGACTCCAGGCTTCTAAGGTTCTGCAAAACGTTCCTCCATTTCCCTCACCCTGCACTTGCTGCTTGTCCACACTACCTTCAAGTTTATCATCTCCAGCAGAAAACATCACTGAGTTAGAAGGTCTGGTAACACCCAAACAAACCATATTTTTCCAATGGTCTTATGGAGCTGATTGTGTGATGTGGTTGCTGTGGAGACTGTCAGAAGCACAGCAGTATATCTGAGAACGAATCACTTCATACATTCCTTGCTTCTTACACATTTCCCTAAATAAGTGCCAGAGACAGAGGAAGCAGAGCTAGGTGGCTTTTTGACCTGAGCCACCATGATGAGAGCAGTGGACTACATCTGATCCTTGGGAGATGGGGTCCCTTTGAACCTGTACCTCAATCTCTTTCCCTTACCCTTTGCTTAGAGAGACTCAAGTCCAGGTGCAAACTTTTGAAGGCCCTTTAATAACCTGCCTTCAGAGAGCCACAAAATAATTTGGCCCATCTAAGCAAAAAGTGTCCGTATCCTCAGAATAGAAGGGCTGTATTTTCACAGAGCTCACTTGTGCACAAAAAGTCTCACTTATGAATCTAACACATGCAGTGAAAATATGCTCTTTTTGTGAATAAACTGTCTACTAACAGTGCTAACACACTGACATCATTCTGCAAACATTTTCACGTAATTCAGTCTCTGACAAGCTTTGTTTCTATTCGAGTCAAATTACTTGGAAAAATCACGCTTTTCCCATTAAAGAATCATTTTCTCTTTAAGCAGTTTCCAGTGTACTCCACCCCACCAACTTCCAGTTGGAGCTGGCTCACTTTGCTTGGCCAAGTCCAATGGCCAGAGCCCTGGCAGTTCTCAGTGCCAGGTCAGGTGGGAGTGGGGCAGATACACTTAGTTCAAGTATTAATCAAGGCTACAAATGCTTAAGTACTTTCAACTCTGACCACATTATCCAGAGGTTAGAAAGCTCTACACCTTGATAAATACATAATTTGTGGAGATTTACAAAGCTACACTTTTATTTCTTACATTCAAGCAGATATTTAAAGTGAGGTGAGAATTTCACAAGGGTCATTTGAATATGTAAAAGCATCCTAAGCTACCGAGTAAGATGCAGTTTCGCTGATACACTCTGGATGCTATGTATTTTCTAACAGCATAAACCCAATTCATAGAGGTCAGTTTGTGACAAAAATAAACTGAGAGGAACAGTTTTGCCTACAGTAAAAGGTCACAAATTTAAGTGGACTAGCAGCAGAGGCTTGATAAGTGCTTTGCAGAGGAAGCTTGAAGCTAACTTGTTGCTATGTAAATTATCTGCTGGCACTTTTTCAGAATGAGTGAAAGCTCTTTTTTGTGGCTGTGGGTTGGACTGCACATTAGGTTGCAAAATGGAGCTACAAGAACAAGTCAGCTTGGTTATGTACATGTCTACTTGAGAGCAGCTGGAAATTCACAGATGGAAATTAAGTTCAACTCTCATTTTGACCAAGTCTGTTCAAATTTTGCAAAGGCAACAAAAACACCCCCACTCAAAAAAATCCTGAGTAAGAAATCAGTCCTTGTATGTTACCTTTCCCATATGAAAAAAAAAAAAAAACTTGGCCTCAAAAATTTTGGCTTGATTACTTTTAGTGTGGCTAATGACCTTAGTGTCACTTACTCTAAGAAATTTTTACTCTGACTCCTTTATACTTCATTAACTTCCTGAATTACGCTGAAGCGTATTGTAAATGAAAAGGCAAAGTTCAAGCACCATCCACAACTTGTGTCTTTTAAAAAGCTATAAATGTGAACTCTTGTCTCACTAATAAGATTTATTTTACTCCTAGAAATAATTTTCTTCCATTAGCTGTATAATCTGAAAGGTTGTTCTTTTTTTTTTTAACTACAAAATATAATACATGTTCTTGTAGTGTCTTTCGCCATCATTTTAATGTTTTTTAATTACTTTTGTAGAAAGCAGGTATTTTTGTTATCCACAATGTACAGATGGGGAAAATGCAGCACAGATATTGTGAAGTGGTCATA